AACAAAATTTAGACCCCTCCGGATTGGGACCCCTCTGAGTTAGTTAATAGAAGATCCCTCCGGATTTGGACCCCTCCGAATTAGCAACTATAAGACCCCTCCGGATTCGGACCCCTCCTAACTTGAAAAAAAAAATTTGACCCCTCCGGATTGGGAGCCCTCCGGTTTTGTAAAAGTAGCTTTTCGGAGATTTCCTACTTTGAACCTATACCCCTCCAGATACGTTCTCCGATGCAATTTTGCTTTTTCAGTTAACTAGGAAGGGTATGTGCTACTTTCCTAGACCCTTCCGGATTGAAGTTAAGCCTCTTATTTGACAATTCACACTAACGGTGAAGGGTCTTATCGCTCGCCTAATTTCGGCTCGATTAAGGTTTTGCTGCGCCCTTAGCCTTCCCTTTCCATCTAGAACAGCCTAAAGTTACTTTATTCAACCGCTGTTACCTTTTAGTAGGGGTATAAGGGCTTTTCTAAAAGAAATTTATAAAAGGTGAAGGGTCTACCCTCCCAAATTGGTGAATTTGCTAAAAACAATCTCAAAAAATTTTCACGCTTATTTTTCCGAAAATTTTTTGTCCCTATTAGTAAGCTCAGCTAATTTCTGATCTATTGGTACCAAGATCAACTCGATATGCCCAGTAGTTCCAAAGTTATTAACCAAAACGTCTTTTTCTAAACTCGAAAATTTTCTCTCTTATAGGTTCCGCCTAACTATCTTAATTTTTGTACCAAAAGGGATACAAAACTTGTTAACGATACCCAACAGTCGGTTGTTGTTGTCGTTGAGCCCCTTCTTGTTGCTCCTTGTACTGCTTGCCGGATCAATCTTCACCCAAGACCCTTCCGAATTGAGCGCAAATCAGCTGACCCTTCCGGATTGAGCGCAATTTATCATTAACGTGCTTAAATGCTCAAATAACCCTACAGTACAAGCCTCACAAACGGGCTACAAAACTGATCGTAACAATCCTAACTGATATAAATGCGTTTAACAACAATATATCTATCAACAACAAACGGGGGGGTCGGATCACATCTTGTCTGGGGGGATGATTTCTACTGATTTTTTACTTTTTTACTGTTTTTGGTTTTTTCGGTTATTTTTTTATGTTTTTTTGTTTTTCTTGGGTACTATAATACCTTTTGTTTGGTTTTATATATACCTTTAAGTGTTTTTGGTCACAAACGTCTCAGGGAACGAGGGAATGGCCGATCCCCCCACCCTTCCTGATTCGTGAATTTTCGGTCTTAACTAAGTTAAAAAGCTATTCACGGTAATCCGGAAGGCTTCCGCGTTCCGAACTACCCTTCCGCCCCGGCGGTTTAGGCCTATTAAGTGCGTTAATGTGAGCATCCGCTCGGCGCGGAGTGCTCGTTAACGGTTCTGCCGGTCATGATGTTAAAAAAGAATAACACCCAGGAGCGCCATAAAAACATGTATGTAACATTCGCCCGGAAGATACATATCGACGAAAAAAAAACTAAGTCCTAGGACGACTGGCTAACGTCTAAACAGAGCTTTATATGCTTTTCACCGTCTCTACCAAGCCAGTACTTTCGGTGGTCTTTTCTAACATCGGGTCGACAAAAAACGTTACTGCTTTCGGCTTCGGTCAAAACACTCAAATTAACTAGATTACATGCAGAAATAGTGAGCTCATGGCTGGGTCTCAGTATCCCCAGACCACGAGGTCACTCCTAAAAACAGGGCTACTACTATCTATTATATTACTATTGTTTTTGTTCAGTAGATAAAAAACATCATCTCCATCGAAGATGGATCAACCCTTTCCCCCAACTCCTAGCTTCTCATCCTTATCAAAATGAATCCAGTTGTTAATTAAATTCAAATCAGGACATAACAAGAAGCTAAAAGTTTATATGAAAGAATAAAAGTCTCAGTTCCGAAACCCATCCGGATTCTTGAATCCACTGAATCAAGCTCGTTAATCTCGATTTCTTCGTAATCCGGAGGGTTGTCTTCCACCCTTCACCGTTGTCTGCAACGGCCTTGCAAAGATTGTAGCGACACAATAGTTGCAACTCGGAACGCTCTCTGCTATTCCTGCAATCTGCTGTTGTTTTTTGATCACGATTCTCGTAGTTATCGTCCGCGCAACTAATGTTGTTGTGTTGTTTTCTAGCTTTTCTGCCAAAATGGCCGTTTCTGACGTTTCTCAGAAATGTTACGTAATCACTTCGAAAATTTAAAAATTAGCAATTTCCGAATCCTTTAACCTTCACGTTTTGTTCAATCGTTCAATGACGTTCTTAATTTTTAATAATCACCAATCCGGAATGCTCGCTGCTAAAAATTCGAATTCTGCAGAGATTGCATTTTTCACATTCTGGTCGAATGTCACAATAAGTAAGTTTGAATTTGAAACGTACGAATTGTTTGGCGAAGACATGGCTGCATTGACATCAGCTTCAACGAAAATCAGATGGGATGTACCCACAATTGTAGGAGCGTGTATACTAGAGCTAGCAAAGTTTGAGATGTACAAATTTCACTACGAGGTTATGAAGCCTAACTTCAACTGTCACCTCTTGTACTCTGTCACCTCTTTTAGACACTGACAGCCTAATGTACGAAATAAAAGCGGAAAAAAACTCGAATTTTAATGAGAAACTGTACGAGAAACGTGAAGTTTTGGACAACTTTGACTTCTCCAATTATCCATTCGAAAAAAATTGAAAGAAGTAATTTGTAAAAAAATTTTGAAAAAAAAAATTTTGCCAAAAAATTTTCGTTGGAAAAAAATTGGGTAAAAAAATTTTGTAAAAAAAAAATTGTCATCTAAAAAAATTTCGAAAAAAAAATTTAAAAAAAAATTTTAAAAAATTTTTTGAAAAAAAATTTTTGGAAAAAAAGTTTATGAAAAAAAAATTTTTCCAAGTGAAAGTTTTTTTGATGACTTAGGTTTTTTGTGTTTCTGTGGGTGGGGGGAGGGGTAGGTTAAATGGTTATCACCTTTTTTAAATGAGGGGGGGGGGGGTGGGTGTAGAACTTCTGAAAAGGATGCGTACATACTTTTTTCATTTTCAACTTCAAGTGTAAGTTTACAAAACAGTTAGATATAAAATGATTAGTAAGCATCATTTTTTTAGATACACGTAAGCACTCTGCCAAAGGAATCATTAAGGTGACTCAACGGTTGCTAACTCATGAAAAATGAATCGAAACTCTCGCCTCTAGAAACCTTGTACGAGCCGAAAATACTCGCATCATCTCCGAGAGGCATATTCTGAACACTGTTCGAGCAAACAAAATCGCATTATCAGCCTATGATGATAAGCGATACATCCTCAGCGATGGTATCTCCACATTGCCATACGATCACTATAGAAGCGTAAGTGCTTCTATCTTTCCCGATAGCTAACAGGATGATGATGATGATGATAGCGAAAGGAACGTGAGTGAAACTAATAGCACCAGTCACCACAAAAATCAAGATTTAGACACTTGGCTGAAATTTTTCGAGGAAGAAGATGAGATAGTCGACTGGGATCAGGAGAGTTCGAACCAAGAAGAAATCTTCACGCAGGATACGAATTACGGGTCAGAAGATAGCTTTCTTGTGTTGGATACTCAATCGAGCCGATCGTTGAGAGACCTGTTAAATAGTATCACCAGCTATGAAGCTCCAAATCCAGGTAGAACTCGTGTCACGAATACTGCTGAAAGTAATATTGGAAGCGATGATTTGGTTGATCCAAATGCAGTCACTTCTTCTTCGTCTTGGGACGATGAATGGTACCTCGACCGCGAAGCAGTTGAAGACTCACCACCGCAGTCAAAGAGACGCAAAACAAACAAAAAACTCTATCGTTGTGTGTTTGATTCAAATTGAATACAAAATTTAATGTTGTATTTTAGTGTACTGAATTATACTTACTTTCCACGTTTGTTCACAGTTGGGTTATGGCGGACTACTTTAAATCCACTTTTGGTTTTGTGTTACTATTTTATCTGGAGTGGTTTTGAGAGTTTTCATATTGGAAATGACCCCAAACTGTTTTTGGTGCATTTAAACGACACTTGTTTTAGAAGATTTTGTGTATAATTCAACCATTTCATTTCATATCTATTTTCGCCAAGACCATAGAATTTGTAGAAATATTGAAAGAACCAATTCGCAAAGACCTTCAACAGCAAAACGCATTGAATAGTTTTAGTTCAATTGGAATACAACATAGCTTGCCGATCTATAGTTGCGGAAAGTAATAATAAAACGCCAGAACGATTTTGTTTTAACCAACACAACTTTCACATAAGGATCATTAAGTATAAAAATTATACATCGGGATCATTAGGGATTAATAATTTTACATAGGGATCATTAGCTATAAAAAATTATACATAGGAATCATTAGCTATAAAAATTATACATAGGGATCATTGAGTATAAATATTTTACATAGGGATCATTAGGTATAAATATTTTACATAGGGATCTTTAGGTATAATTATTTACATAGGGATCATTAGGTATAATCTATACCCAATGATCCCTGTAGGGAACACCCCCACCCCCGATCTCAGTGTCGTATATCTATACTACTAACCGGTACAAGTGTAATATGTGATAGAGGGGTCCCAAGAAACTAACCGGGTCACTTGCGTAAATAAAATGCCTTAAAACTGTTCAAATTATTGCGTCAGTATTCAACTAAAGTATGGAATAAGTTAACGCAAATGAAGGCAGGTTAATTACGCTAGAGAAAAAGTTTTGAAACGACCGACCGGAGCATATTGATTAGTTAATTACTCTATTTGCTCTAAATTAGTGCGATTTGAGTCCCCTCCCTCACACTTAGTTTTTAGCGAGATCCCCCTATCGCACTCTTGCACCTTGTTGTCCTGCTTTTCATCACGTGGATCGAGGCATTTTTTTGACGTTGAGACGGTAATTTTTGAACGTTTTTGTCTCAAGTTGAATGGTTCGCTCTAAAATGTAGTTTTTTTCATGTTAATGCTTAGTTTTTGGTTGCATATAATGAACAATAACGCATTGGTGCTACTGTTTTATTCTAAGCACGTGCGTCCGTTAATTATACATTATTTCTCGCATTGTAAAAATCTTATATCTGAAGTATTTATTATATACAATTGCGACGGAGATTAAGGAATTGTTAACCTCGAAATGAGCTCAGGTAATTTTTAAACCATTTTCTTGTTCTATATTTTTTTGTTATAATAATTATTGAGTATAATTTTTGAAAAAAATTCAAAATGTTACGACTTCTTCAGCAAAGAGAAATCGTCCGAAAAAAAGGAAGAATAATTGTATAAGATTTCGTTCATTAGTATGGAGAAAACATGGTTCAGTTCAAATGACGTTGATTTCTGATACCTTGCGTTTGCGCGTGGAAATAAACATCCGAATTCAAAACCACTTTTTTAACGTTGTCGCAGAAAGTTATTAAAAAGCAATTTAGTTGAAACAACTTTTCGCAAATGATTCGATTGAAAACAAATTTTTCTCTCAAGAAATTTGGCTCTTTTTCCTTTTCCCTCCACTTCGCATAAGCATCAATTTTACGGTGTAACGGGGGAGTTTACAAGGTTAAGTATGCAAACCAAATATGTTTGTCGTAGCCTAATAATTGTTGTAACAATCGAATAATGTGAACAAAATATTACGTGTGAAAATTCGCAGGTGGGAGGGAAAAGGAGAAAGAGCTGAAATTAGGTCAACAAGGTGTACCAAACTTTTGAATTAAGGATTAATTTTTTATTCCGGTTTTGAACGTCTTACTCGAATCATCGCTTCAGCAATTTCTAAGTGTTTTTGATTGATTTAGACTGGTTCTACCATGCCCCCCAGAAAAGGAGGGAGAGACAGGTGCAAGATGCGCAGCCAGACATGCCGCCCATGTCCCAGATCCCTGGATTGAGTGACCTGTCGAAGGAAGAGGATGCCACCCAGCAGAATGCTAACCGAGGAGTGCTTCTCAGGGACTCAGACTCCAAGTACATCAAACTGGCAAAGATGGGAGGACGGAAAAGTGAGTGGGCTTTGTTCGATTCGCGACTCTTTAACATCACATCCCCCCTGCCTATCAAATTTTCTATTTTTTAAGTTGCTTTTCTTGTTTTTGCGGCTAAATGCGTGATTTTACGCTGCAAAGTGTAATGAGCAAATTTGTTGCTACAACCTCCCATCAACAGGGAAGCGCAGACTGCAGATGAGCAAATTTGTTCACAATAGTTAGTTTGTTCACCATGCCAAGTTTCATTGCACAATGAAAACTTCAAATAATTTTTCAAAATCAAAATTTACTTTCGCGAGCAGCGTAGTATAATAAAACGAACCTTCTTTTTTCTAACCTAACCGGCGAAAAAAAGTGTTCATAAAAAGTGTTCACTTATTTGGTGGCACTTTTGCTATAATCGCAATCTGTAGCATTGGAAATTTCGTAGCATCTGTTCTCTGCTTTATTTGTGGCTAGTGTTTGTGATTATTAAGCGTCCGTCCGTGTTTGAGTGGTTGGTGCTTGAGACTCGTAAGCTCTAGATAGCCGCGCGAATCCGAGACGTAGCCGAATTTTTGCTAATTCGAGATTTATTTCTACTTTTTCTTATTGCATTTTATAGAGCTGCTTTTTATCGTGTTTTCGCTAGTGTTTGCGAAGCGAAGCTTCGCCTTTGTTTTTAAAAGATATTTCCAATCAAGGTGGAAATTAAATCCGCAAGTTCTTGGATTAAAATCAAATTGCGTAGACTCAACTTATAGAAAAGAAACTTAATTCTATTGAAAAAATTGATCAAATCCAGGGTCCAAATTATGAACTACGCGGGATATATTGTTCTTTCGACCATTTGAAAAATGGAAAGGAACTTAGTATTCTAGTGTGTTCAAATTTCCGTTTTGTTTGTTTCCCACGCAAAATCAGCGACCACAAATACTAACCGAAAGTGTCGAGTGACATATCATTTTACAGCCTTTTCAGTCGTGATTTAAACGATATTAAAAATTTCTGAAAAACTTTTTCCCAGTGTTGAGAAAAACCAGTTTGAAATTTTGTTTTTGGTCTTATTTTGAGCGGATAAGGTGAGAGAGGAGGCTTAAAATATCTTATTTATGCTTAATTTAAGCCGTGAAAACTTAATTTTACTCGAGTAAAGCTTGTTTTTGGAGTCTATTTGCGCCTTTCCGGAACCAAAAACTTTCCAAAAAAAATATGTAAAAGATTTTGAACTTTGTTTGGTTTTCCTACAGTTTTTTTGTTCATTTTTTTAACGAAATTCGGTTCCCAATTTGCCAATTTCTTTGGTTTTCGTACAATGTTTTTAACAAGTCTTTCTATTCAATTTTCTACAAAATTTGTTTTCCAATTTGCCTATTTTATTATAAATGTCGAACATGATTAAATTCTTGAAACACTTTTCTCTTGATACTATGGTCGGAGCAACCAGTGCTACTTGCGCAGTATTCGGTTAGCATTGTTTAACTATGTGTTAGATCAATTTTCAAGTTTGGAGTGACTCTTTATGGCGCTGAAGATGTTACGGCATCAGTTTTTGCAATTTTTTGAGCTTTTTATAAATTAAAATATATGACACGTGGTCTTCTCATATGAAACTTAATGGCTAATTTTAACAAGATAGCCGGTTACTGTGCCGGTAGCACAGAATGTTCCGACCAGTCTTAAAAAAAAATTTCGAATTAGTGTAGTTTTTTTCTTTTTTTTCGGCGTGGTGTGATGAAGAAATCTAAGCAAAAAAGTAAGTTTCGGGCATTTTTGTTAGTAATTGTAAAATATGCAAATTGGAAAACAATTTTTGAAGACAAATGACAAGAATAAAAAAAATCAAAAAAAAAATTATTATTTAGTTTTTCAAATTTTTTTCCCCTAATTTTTGAAAAGTTTGGTTCCTAATATGAAGCTAAAAACTCCAAAAGCTAACTTCATTTGAGCATAAACGAATTTTCTAGGCTTTAAATAAGCATAAATCAGCAAATTTAAGCTTGCTAACTCGCTCGAAATTTGACGAAATATTTTTAAAAATTCAAACTGGTTTAACTCGACTTTGTGAAAACTTTTTAAAAATTTGTTTATCTCGTTCGAAAGGGCTTTATGATTGAAAGGGCTTTGATATGATACAGTCCGATGATTTTTTGCAGTAGCTGATTTTGCGTGGAAAACAAAAAGAAAAAAACTAAAACACACCCGAATACAAAGTTTCTCCCGATTTTTAATGGTCGGAACAAAAAATTGTTTATAATTGAAGTCGTTACATAAGCAGGATTACTAATGAAGAATTCTTTTTACAAAATCATTACTTGAGTGAGCACTGTAAGATTAAGTTAAGCCCGTTTCAGGCGTCTCAGAGCTTTTTTTGGTACCCTTGAAGTTAGGGGAAATAAAACCTTGGGATGAGAGCCCAGCTTGATCACAAAGGAATAAGAGGGCAAAAATTTTACCGTTTTTGATAGAATTTGCAGGTTTACTAGACTAATTATCATAATATTAAACATAAACAAAAAAAATCGGAAAACAGTGGAGGCAATTACAGATTTATTTTAGTTTAACTACAAAACAGCTTATTTATCAGATCACTAGCTTGAATATAGTTATCTAAAAATTGATGGTTGAAGTTTTTTAGTTCCTGGTTATCAAAACTGTAAAACTAAGAAACAAAAAGAGCAAACTGTTGAAGAGTACTCGCGTTTTGGTGGCAATCGAGTGCTTTGATGAAAATTTTGAGTGTATTACGACAGCTCTCCCTATATATATTTTTGAATTTTTTTTGTTGTATTTCTTTAGTAATTACTTTTTCTAAAATTTCAGATTGGCATTCACTCCGTATTAAATTGCATAAAAATTTTAAGCAGTTCATAAGTATGATATTCTTTAGGAGAAATTTTTTTAATTGTTGTGTTATGTATTTCATTGATTCGAATTTTTTTTAACATATGGTTTTTATAAGACGTTTCAGCAGCATTTCTAGGTATTCCAATTTTGTTCGATAAAGCCATGTAACCATCGTTTGTGCCTTTATTGGTAAGCAGAACAGTCATTGTCTCTTTTGCATTTAAAAAGGAAAAGAATTGAAGGAATTATATAATGTTCCTGGCGTGAATTTACTTGTCATTTTTTCTAAGAGAAGTAAATTCGTAACTACATTTTTCAGATCTGCTCTACTTCACGCAGCCAGTTCCCAGTACAGAACCCAAAAAGTACCCAATCCCAGAGTGGTGGGGAAACAAAAACACTGGAATTGATCCAGCAGAGGAAGACATGGCAATCACGAGGCCTAAGCCCTCGATTCCAGACTACATGGTACACCATCCTTACCTCTCGAAAGACGACATGCAGATAAACTCAAAGGGAAGATCCAGGATTCCATTTGGACAGGATGGCCAGAGTCACTGGGGAAGAGACGCGGAGGACAATGTGCGAAACCCGCACAATATAGTATGTTTTTGAAGTCGGATCTACTTAATGCTATCCACCTTGTGGTGTGGTTCCAATTAATAAATCTAAATATCTAAGGTGAACAAATCAAATCTGTTGATTTATAAAACCAGAAACGTTTTTAATCCTTCGACAAATTATTACCTTCACAGGGGCGGATCTAGGGAACTTTTGATGGCCCTTTGACCAAATTGATTTTACGAACTTCCTTAAAGCACAAAAAAATTATATATTTTGATCAAACTAATGAAATAAAAGCTGACTAAAAGGTTGCTGTTGGACACTTTGAAGGTTCTGAACTGGTTTTGAGCATGCTTTTGTAAAGTTCTTATCAGTTCGGCATGCCAATTTTCAAAAATAAAAATTGGACATTGTGATCAAAGTATTAAATTTAAAAATCAGTTGGGATGTGGAGATATTCTAGGCTATTTTGCATGTAAGTAAATTCGTACTGCAAAACTTCAGAAGCCAGATTTTTCATTATTATAAATTTTGAAAACTTGTGCAGAGGTCGATTGACGTGAGCAAGTTGCTGTCTGAGACAGGAATGCCGTTTCCTAAGTATAAAAAGCTGCCTTCATTCCCCAACGTCCATTCCAGGTAGCTACAAATCCCTGTCTCCCTCTCTCAGAACCAAACCCATATCCAGATCACAATCCCAATCTAGACAATTTCGATGGAAGTTGTAACTAGGAGCAACAGAACTGATTTACACCAATAGCAATGAAGCTGTGAAAATGAGATTTTAGAAGTAAGAGTTCAGTCATGAAATAAAGACAGCTTGAATTACGAGTTCTACAGTTTGATTTCAAATTTTGAGAAAAATAAACGGAGAAGTGTTGCTCTTGTTACTCTCCAACTTCCATTTTAACAGTCAATTAATGATGTGTCCCGCCCCTGTTGTTTTCACCTCATCTCACTTGTTCACGCTTTTCTTATCTATCCTGTTTTTGCTTGCTATCATCAAATAACACGGCTGCTTGTTCAGGTAATTCAGAAGCAGAAGCGGCTGTTGCTCCCAATTGAGCCCCGGCTGCGAAGTGTAAAGGACGAAAGGCCAGCTGGCATAGTAATTCGATCACGCGCTCAAACGGCTAAAGAGAGATCTACTTCTGCTGCAGAGCCTTTCGTGCCCGAATTGCCCCAGCGCATGAAAACATTCATGTTAGTGTAGTGCAAGGCTCTCGTATCACGTAGTATAAACATAAGTAGAAAAACAGCGGCTTCTCTTTGTTTTAATCCGAAATTGCCTGAAATTGTTTCTCATAGCTCATCATTTTCCAGAACAATGGGATGAATATGGTTCTCGAACTTAAGTCTCGGTAGATAAAAATTGGAATTAATTTTTTTAAAGTTAAGTTTGTGGATCGTTCTAACCAGCATGCTATTGCAATGAACATGATATCTAGAACCTCCATGATTTGTTTCTATTCAAATTGTTGTTCAGATAGTGTTAAAATGATGAACCTACCCTCATCATAACTTATTAATGCATACAAAGATATCAATTTTTCATACAAAGCCATGAGAAACCACGGGTTACATCACAAAAATGTGCAGCGCTAGGAATTGCAAAAATCATTCTTTATTTAATTTGGTTTTCAGGAGAAATAAATTCTTTCTTTCTTAGTGCTACCTTGAGCAACTTTTCCATCTTGCACTTGCAACTTTCATTACTAATTTTTCCCAATTTCAATGTTATGTACCTAAAAAATAGACGAAAAACTTGAAAAAATTGCTTAGTGCGACTAAGGATGGCGAGCCAGCAGTGTTCTCTAAGATTCTAAACTATGGCTACCAACGGGAATGGCTGGATGAGCGTGAGGAGCAGAGAAGGGCAGACGAGGAGAAGAGACGCCTCTACTCGCATAACCTGAGGAACACACTCTCTGAGAAAGGATACAGCCTAGTAGACTCAACCAACAATCAACAGGTAGGGATGCCAAGTTCACTTTGAAATCTACACGCTACTGACTAAGTATGAATAGCTATAATGCTCAAATAAATTCTCCTCCGTTGTTCGGGTAATCACGTCATTTTGTCTTGACCTTTATAAGGATAACATTTTCGTAAGGGTGGGTGTCGCTGTTGACCATTAGCTTTAAACTTTTTCTGGGTGTATCTGAAGTTTCATCTCCCCCTCAAACACGCTGATCGGATCATAGATTTTAGCTATAAATGGAAGGGATAGGTGCGAGCCGTTTCAACGCCATTTTGACCAAAATTAAGTGTAAAAGAACGAAGTTATTTTCACCTATATAAGTCATGATGATTTTTTTTTTTTGGTTTTTTCAAGTATTGAAATTTGTAACGCTTGATTTTTCTTTTGCGGTTTGACTTTTGATTTTCTTTAAGTTCATTTCCTTTGTTAAAAGGCAGGCAAGTTCCACTATCAAAAAGCAAAAGCTTTAAGGTCACGGAAAACGTGAGTGACTTCTAGTCTCAAAAATGAACTTAAATTTTCTGGTGCTGAATTATCGGCGGAGTAGAAAATTTATTGATTGATCCAGTTTTATCCAAATGGGATATCATTTAAGAAAAAAAGTGATATTTAAGAAAAAATTCTCAATCGTAAACAATTCTAGAAATCAAAGAGTTTTAAATTTGATTTATTTTTGGCAGTTCAAAAATTTTCTAATCAATTTTTTTCAGTTTTCATGAGTTCGTTTACAGTTTTCCAACCATCTGTAGGCTATGTTGTTTTTGCAGCAAACGCAAAGTGCAGCCGCGTTGGGAGATCACAAGGCCTCCAATGGATCTGCTGCTGCTGCTTCTGGTGCTGTCAGGAGGTACCAACCCTCCTCCGCAGCCTCTGGCATCAAACCCTGGAAAACCACAACAAAGACTGCTCATCACGGACCAGTCCCTACATCCAGTTTATACAAAATGAAGAGGTTGGTCTGATATGGTAAACTCTTTTACTTAAGTTAAACAGCGAGATGCATAACTCGGATGCTACTTGTTTGAGCTTAAACTAAGTTTGAACGGAGGTTCCTTGTTTGAGCTTACATGTCATCACATGCAGAAACCGGCCTGCCTCTATCCGCATTCTTTCGAAATTATTATTTTTCTCGTTTCAGATTCGAAAAGGTTCCCTCGAGAGTGAATGCTCCTTCAGTGCAAGAAGTCCATTAAAACCAGAAAGTGCGGACTGAATTACAATCTCCTTTCTCCTCTCTGTTTATTGTCAAAAAAGAAACTTCCAAATTTAATTTGCAAATAAACCTAACAGAATGAATTTATGTAACAGTCGCCTACTTTAGTCACATATGAGGCTTAAGAAAAATAGGCCCTATAACCATTGGCTCAAGAGTCAGGGACACTATCTCTTGTGTTTTTCCGCCTCAAGAACGGTCGGAGCCAATTCGGTTCGCTTGCGACATGAGACTGGAACCCATTACAGCTTAAAGGCCACTACCAAAATACCCCCCCACTCTAGAAATAAAAACGTCCCCATACTTAGGCCTCGGGATACCCAAAATACATGAACGCCGTTAAAAACCGGGTCGGAACCATCCGCTTAGTTACTTTTTATTGGACAGTGGAACTTTGATCCATTTCAGATGGATCAACCTAAAACTCGCCTTATCTCAACATAACTATCATAAAATGCACTCGAGAAATTTAAATTGGAACTTACATATCGACGCACTTGAGTAACAGAAGTAAGTTTTGTCTCTAGAATCAAAGTCTCTGAATGAACCCTTTGGACACTCGAGTTGTCCACTCTTCCATTCAGAGTCCACTCCTTTCCATTCGAATAATTGTTCTGTCTCAAGTCCGTATTCGATTCTCCTGTTTTCAGGACAAGACAGCTCTACTCTCTTGATATTTCGTATCGAGAAATTGCGAATAGCAATTTCCTGCCTTTTTCTTGAGTAGTTTCCCGCAATTGTTAATTCGGGTGTTCTGATTTCTGACTTTTTCATTTTCAGTTGGTTCGAGAAAATTGAGCATGACATGCTCAAATCGAATTTTGCAAAATTAAAATTTCACTCCAAAATTGCGTATTTCTCAAGGTCAAACCCCTAGACATGACCGACTGGCACATACTCCCCGGACTCGAGATCGATGTCCTCATCGTGTGTTGTCATCTGCCAATAAGTCCCAGAGAACCGAGTGTTGCTCAAGATACAGTGCCAGTGGTCATTTACAGAAGTTTGCATCGGACTTAAGTTTATCTACCTTGCAAAATTCACGACCATATAAAATCTTCACACTACCGCTAAACAGCAATCAAAATCTGCATACACCTGCACCCATGAATCCCCGCTTTTTAAGCTGGTAATTTTTAAAATTTCTTTTGTCCTATTTCAGTCAGAGAATTGTCATGCATCAATTTGATTTATATACTAGATCTATCATATTAATAACAATATCTTATTCGTCTAAAATTTCTTTTCCGTGAACCCAGATTTTATCCAAGTTCACGCTCAAGCCCCCTCCCTCTCAAGACTCAAGACTCTAGAATTTCCTTTCGAGCCACTGGCTCACCTCATGTTCTTCGCCTTCGAGGTACCTGATACCGGTGTTCTTGGCACTGTAATTTGTTCCAATAGTGCCTCTTCGTCATCGGAGCTAATCACAATTTCCTCCCAGGCCTTCAGCTGTTCATAGGCTCGCATCCACTCTCTCTGCTCTTGCAACCTTTTCAATTGACTTGGTAGGCCTTTCACCTTCGACTCCCGGTTCAAGCAGAAGGAGTTATGAAGACTCAAGCTCACATTCCTCGCCAGGTCCTCCTCCAGTATCGTTTCCCTCGCTCTAGAATTGTCTCTGGATATTCTGCCTACTCTTTTCCACCCCGCCGTGATTGCGTTTCGATGGGTTAGCAGAGGTCTCTTAAAGGCATCTGGCCCTATTTCAGCTTGGAATTGTCGATATTCCTTCTGATGTTTCCTCATGTGGTTCTTTGTCACTGCATACAACCAGGATGTTAACGTCGCACGAAACCAAGGAAAGAATCTCAGGCGGCTCCATATGTGTCTGACTTGCACTGGTATGGCGAATACCTTGCATGCAGTCTCGAACAACTCCAGTCTCCTGCTGTAATCTATCGCATAAATCGATTCAGCTGTTGGCGCTCTCGATTCTCTGTACTTCGCTATATTCTCCTCAATCCATCTCAGAGCCAGCATCGTGCTTACCACTAAGATGGTCACCTTTTGTCGATACTCCGGTAGTCCTAGCGACTTAATTTCTTCTACGTCCCAGATCAGACAGAGATTGGCGCGGTCCGGGTACCACACTGTCTGCGCCAGACAGTGGCATGGACAATCCCCATGCGTGAGGTCGATGCTTCTAAGGTTGCGTTCTCCCGAAGCTTCTAGGAGAGGCTCAAGTTCCATCATTTTCTCATGCACCACGTCGACTTCTTCCGAGCTTGAAGCACCTACTGCGGGTTTCCCCACCACGTTCTGCTTCCCATGATCACTTGCATTTTCGCTCTCCAAGCCTAGCAGTTCTTCACCCCAGATTTCACTCAAGTCATCTCTTTGCTCCTTTGGTACTGCTCCTCGGATCTTCCTCAATAGCTTGTGTGAGTGGTGTGACATCCGAGCTAGTCTCACGCACTTGGGCACTGAGAAGGCTTTGTCTATCATCACCCTCTGGCTGGACACCTCCACCATCGCCATGTGTAGTGGATAGTGGCTCCCACATAGGTTAGCCAACACTGATCCCACTAAGGATTTTGCATTTAGAGGCAATCCATAGGCTTCGCTCATGGGAAATCCCATCTCTGCCTCGAGTCCGATCTTCCAACTCTTGATGTGCTTCTGGTTCACTTGTAGCACTCCGGGCCATGATTCCACGCTTAACGCGGTCACCAGGTTCTGACTCTAGCCTCTCCAGTGACTGGAGACTGCACATTCTTGAGAAGAATCCCAAGGCTGTCGCTAGGTTCACGGTGGTCCTCGCGTAACATTCAGCCACTATCTGTACCTCACTCTTCTCCCTTTCAGTGATATCTTCAAACCAGGTAGTGAGGTCCTCTTTCTGGAAAGATTGTATCCTGACGCATAATCGTCCATCACAAATATGTTCGCCGTTACTGCATGTCGAATCAAGACAACTGCCCGGCTCCATCCTCCTCACCGGCTCTGTTCCACTTGTCACCTCACTTGATTCTTTCACCTGAGGCAAGATCAGTTTGTGTACTATGCTCAAGATCGCCAAGTCCTCATCCTCTGTCGGTGCCAATCTCACTCGCTCAGTGACCTCCTCAATCATACTTGCATGGGGATGTGGACACCAGGAAGGTCTGAGTAATTTCCATACCACTCCCAGGTTCGTGATCAACACGCCACTCCCATCACCCATTTTTAGCTCCACTCTTTTACTTGAGCGTGGCACACTTATCACTCCCGGCATCCCCTCAAGAACCAGACCCAGGCTAGGTCTCTCTCTCTCCACAACGTCTATCTCCACTATCTTCTCTGTCCAGAACTTCAACAGCTCCGCCACTTCATAATTTCTGTTGGCTCCTCCAGCTTCCAGGTCCAAGAAGGGGTTGTACGCCATTCCCATTACTCCAGAAACATATTGGTACTCTCCCTTTCTGTTGAGTTTCAAGTACTCCTCTGACGAAGCCAGGTTGCGGTGAACGTCGTGCTCCTCTTCAAACTTCTTGTTGTAGAACCTCCGTATCTCATCCAACTTCCTATGGTTCTCCAGAGATTGCCTAGAACCATCCTCCCTCTCTATCCCAGTGCTCTGATACACATTCAAGATGACTGTGGAGACTCTCCTTTCCAACGTCTTGCTTGCGACTGCTTTCTGATGACATGCTAGGATGGTACTGTCAGTCATCATCGACATCGTCCACCTCAAGAAACAGGTTGCATCCTTCCTCCTTGCCAGACTCAAGCCTGAGTTGTCCTTGGCAACGTGCTGCATCAACATTCGGTATATCTCTAGATTTTTTCCTCCCAGCTTCAACTTGTCGTATGAAGTCAGCGTTTCCAGCTCTATCCCCAACAGGCTCCACGCGAACATCAGTTGTCCTGCAGTCCTGATAAAGGGATTCGCCATCAGTGGTGGTGCCGATGAGGATGTCCTCATCGCCTCTTCAAAATGATCCTTCAATAAGTTCTGCCAGGATCTCTTCAGCTGGTTTGCCAACTCTATCTTGTTGACCTCAGCCTTCTGCTGGGTGGCCCAGCTGTATCGTTTGCGAGCCACTCCACTGTTCAACTTCTTCAAACAGCCTTCCATCTCCTTCAATGTCTCGAGAGCTATCCACCATGGTCGGGAGGTGTTTCTGGTTTTACTTTTCTCAAGTGGATCACTGGTCACTTGCTTCCCGACAGCTTGATGTTCACTTGAGACCCACTCTTTGCCAACATCTACTTCCCAGGTCTGCCCGCTCGTCGAACCTCGCTTCATTTTTATTCTTTGAGGTTTGAAATCCTCCTCCGTCACGGAACTAGTGGGATTCTCCATTTCTTTTTCTATGTCGAGCAGTTTCCTCGGTTCGTAGCTACTCTTGTAGGCTGCCGTTTTCCATCGCGCCAGAACCATGGGAGCCGTCTCTCTCAAGTCTTTTTCCGAGACCGCGTCAGCTGAAGGACTGCCCATTCCCTCCACATCTCTCTTCCTCTTGCGAGACCTCACGTCTTTGCTTGGGGGCGTCATTGGTATCATCACTGATTCAACTTCCTTTTCTCCAGCCAACTCTTGCCTCCCCCCTGCTCGAGCCTTAAGGATATTAGTACTTTTAATCATATTACTAGTTCCTACCTTATCCCCCCTTGTACACTTAATTATTTTATTGTCAGTTTTCTGTTTCGGAGTAGAGCTGTCTTTACATTTGTCTTCTCTGGTCTTTCTTGACTTTCTCAACTCGACCATTTTGTTCAGTAGTTCCACTCTAGCTTTCTCTTCTAAACCCGTCCCCACCAGGACAGGCTCACCAAACTTCACCACCGTGTCCCACAGTTCTTCTTTGAAATTATCCAACGTGGTGTCTTCATCCACTTCTCGATTGAATTCGCTCAAGAACTTTTGCCAAGCATCTCCATCCAGAGTGCCCAGGAAGGCGTCTCTGTTTCCCTCGAAGGTATTCTTCTCCCTCCTCTCCGTACTCAAGAAGATCATTCCCATGTTGGGATTCTCGCTTGTCAACGACATTTCCGGGTACTTGCGAGGGGACGAGGTCAAAGGTGGCGTGGGAGTATCTGCCCAGTTTTCTTCACTCAGGTCTTTCAACAATTCCTGCGCTGTGAATTCCACTTCCG